GCTGAGCAAGATGTGCGAAAGATCACAGTATCTTTTATGTACAGGGATGATACTCCAAGGTGTTACTATATTGTGGTTGTTGATTATTGATGAGGCCGGACGGAGAATAAAAGGCAGCTGGTACATCACTGGGGATGGCTGGACTAGAATTCTGGTATTCACACATGTTAGGTCTGTTGTGTGTGTATAATGAATAGTAAGGATAGATATGAATATGCTAAAATAAATAAAGTATTAGGCAGTGGACCCTTATACCCGCTGGTTCTGGATCAAACATTCTCTTTGTCTTACTTGTAAAAGGAAAGTTACTGACGCATCTAGCTGGACAACAGCCGCAGGACCAAAAATTGGGGTCAGCCCTATGTTCCCACATCCCTATGTTCCCACAGCCCTATGTTCCCACATTTCTAAGAATGTTTTGAAAATTAGGCCCTATTTTCCCACAGTCTTATATGTTCCCATAAGTCCATGTCCACACTAACCCGGGTAATATTTATCCGGTTAGCCCTTCCGTCCACATTAGAATGGTGAATTCCGTAACTGAAAACAATGCTTTACAAAAACGATCGCTGAGGTGGATAAATGTGAAGACGCCGTGGAACGTGGCTGCAAAGCGTTCTGAAAGGGTATAAAAGGGGAATATAGGGCTGTGGGAACATAGGGCTGTGGGAACATTGACACGTTCCCCTAAATTCTACTAAATCTCTAAAACGTCTGTCGACATCATCAATCATACATTTATGCCACTTGAAGTTTTTTGTCAGTACGGTTTGTCATTTGCACTAATGATACTTTTTTGCTACAGACCAACATTAGATGTTATTCACCAGTCTAACAGAAAAGTTGCAAGCTCTTTACCTGGAGCTCTCTCCAGCGGTGGAAAGCCACACCAAGATTTACTTCTGTTTTCTTCTTTTCTTTGCTGTTGAACATGGTTTCTTGTCGGAACGGCCCTTTTGGATGGAGATAAAGATCGCTTTCTATGCGTTTCAGCCATCTCTGCGTTTCTGTGATGCTTGTCAGGAGGTTTTTTGTTAGTTTTTTTGTTTGGAGCTGTAGCGTAACTTCAAGCTCTGGAGGAAGCTGTTCTTCTTCATGGGACTGAGGGCAAACTAGATGCTACACTGACTCACACAGCATCTAGTGTCATAAAGTGGTATTACTTGCTCATTTCAGTAAATATCTCTGATTTACAATAGATGGAGGTCTTGGTCGTGACATTATCACTGCGGCTCATTCACATACTATTGATAATGTTCATTCATTTTTTGAACATTTTAAACTAAAATTCTGCCCAGATCTAGCCAGATCTTACACATTACACCTTTAAAGCTGCTACTATCCTTATATTAACAATGGATCAAATAAATGTGTAATGTTACTGGTGTTGCTCGTAGTGATGAACCCAGAGAATTATCATCCAACTCTGCAGTCCCTCTCAGCTTAAAAAGCTTCCTCTGTGTGGTTCAGTCTCATTGTTCCCATTAACACCATTGTACACCACCTGTCCAGGACCAAACAACAGCCAGACACCGTTAGAGACCAGCGGGTGAACTTACTGTGTTCGAACTGAATGCAACTGAAAGGTGTATTTTAGAAGCTGCATCATTGCATCCAGGCAATGAAAAGCTGTGATCAGAGGCAAATTCACTTACCATGAAAATGTTGATTCATAAACGCAGCGATGAATGGAAAAGACTTCGCTGGTGCGTCAGTTTATAGCTAGCTCACAGCTAATGTCTGTATGGGTGTCAACTCGGCTGTTTGGGGTGAATAAATACACTGCACCAACACTCAACAGATTTCCTTCAGGAGTTAGTTTCTAATGTTGCTCCATGTCAGTTGGATGTGTAAGTGAATGTGTCAACTTGGAAGTTGATAATATTGGGTTTATAACTTGTTCCTTTTGCTCCAGTGGACAATAATCAGTTAATGCAGGTTTAACTAAAAAACATTTCACTTCCTGGAAAAAACTAATTGCCCCAAACATAATTCAATCAGCAATAATATTTCAGTTGTTCTGCAGAGGTGACTCAGATGTTATCAGATGCTGACATTTCCTTCATTTTTAGGCCGAACCTCTATTTCACTCCACCAGAAATTCAAGATAACTCTTAAGAAAACAGCTTTATTTTCAGTTTTCATTACATCCATCAGTGACTTCGACCTCTTGTTACAGAATCTGACTTTATTTCTACAGTATCATGGCTCAGACAGACAGAAAGGCCAGACAGAACAACGTCTTTCAAAAAAAAGTTAAAGTGGTTTATGGGGCCGGAGGGGGAGAGTGGGAACTTCAGACTAGGAGGATGTCCTGTTTGGATCATGTGCTTCTTACTGTGGGAAAGTGTGTGTGTTTGTGTATGTGTGTGGTCTAGTTGTGAGAACTGACTTCTCCTTCTGAGGATCCATTCTTCCTGTGAGGACAGTTTTGTGATTTATTGAGATTGATTTTTTGATTTATTTATTTATTTTATTGCAAGTCAATTCAACAATTCAATGTCCTCCCAAATGTAGAAGACCACCAAAAGACTACAATGTCTGTGTGTGTGTTGTGTGTATGTTGTGTGCGTGTATGTGAGCTCTTCTCCCCACTCTGGGGCCTCTACACATTCATGCACACAAAAACACACACACACACACACACACACACACACACACACACACACACACACACACACACACACACACACACACACACACACACACACAATTATCACTCCAGAAACCAGCACTAATATAAAGTAAATAAATCACATTTTCAGAGCAGCAGTTGTTTTGAGAACTCTACCATCCTCAGAGGTTTGTTTGTTTTATGCATCTTGACATGATTTCCCAGTTTGAATTCATGACATTTGTCATATCAGTCTTTTCCCCAAAGGTCTAACGGCTAAGATTTACAGTGACCAGGTTTCCTATAAGATGTTGAGCAAATTTGTCAAGCAACCTGAATTTTCAGAAGCGGTTAAAAAGTAAAAATGAGTGAAGTCTTGTTTCCCTCAACTCCTGTTGTGTGAATATGAATCAAGTGGTTGATGGAGATGAACAGCTGATGGAGTGATCTCTCCAGTCACTGATATTTAACCACGGCAGAAGGACACAGCTAGTTGAGGTCATTAATAGAGCTCCAGTCAAAGCTCAAACGATAGAAAACAATGTGTAAAACATGATATAAATCTGACATTTCTGTTTGTTTTATGTATTAATGTGAGGAAGGTTATAGTATGCTCATTGCTACTCACAAATCAGATTTTTCCTCTTGTTTATTCACTTAGTCTGTTTCACTATGGCTTTTATCCACACAGCTCCTGTTACACTGATTCTGACTGTGCTTTGGTTCCACTAAGGTTTATATGCACCTATTAAAAATGTTCATAAAAACAGGTGGAAGGAAACGGTGTCTCTATAGTTCAGGTGTCCCAAAATATCAGTGATACAGAGCTAGAAATGCACACAGCCTTGAAAAGCCTCAGCTGAACCACAGAGCTTTGTGCCTTTCCAGCAGTTCACCCACCACAACAGCGCAGCTCTGCGTGGAAGCATGGCACTCTCGCACTTCCTGTGCTGGTTTTGGTCAAAACGGCTGGGTCAACCCACTTCCCTGTATTCTTCTGTCAACTCTGGGAAAAAGCTTTAATATCCTTCCTGCCTCCAAGATGCTGGACGTGCAGTCGTAGTCAAAAACCATCCTTGAGGGCAACTGCACTGCGATGTGTCCCCTTACCACAGAGTGAACTATTGTCTCCTCTGTTTGGGTCTCTGTGTTTTGCTTCTCAGAAGAAAGAAAAACTGGAGTGGCTTCCTGGACAGTTTCAGATGGAATAAATACTGCCTGATATCTGGCCATTTGTTTGTTTAGGTGGAGTCAGCAATGATGCTGATTGTTTTGTGGTCACTTATTTTTTTCAGATCAGACTGAGTTTCAACATCAGTGACTATCACCCACTGTCACTGATGACTGCATTGTTTGACTCTGAGTTTATTTACATGATGCAATGATAAGATTTGAAACAGCATGGCTGCAATTTCTTTGCATTGTTTCAATGGTTTACACAGAACCAAAGCAAAGCTGCCATGGACTCAGCTGTCGGGCTGTTTGTATAGGTCTAGATAACACTGTTTGTCTTAATAAAAGAATAATGTGTGAGTCTGAATGCACTCACAAACACTGACCTGAGTAAACTCTCCCAGGGATTCAGAGTTCTGAGGTCACGAGAATGAATTTTCTAAAAAAAACTATTCTCTGCAGTGTAAACATCTGTTCTCTGCCATCTACAACATAAAGTATGAAACAGACATAGTCAACAAGAGTATGATTCAAGTTCAGTCTAAGATAAAGGCAAACAGCACAATACATTAGTTTCTCAGATTTATTTGTTGTAGTATTATAGATGCAGTAGACATCTATGGTTTCCCTGCAAAGATGTTCTACTATCTGATGAACCTCTTGTCTGAACTGCCAACATTGTTTGGGACAGTTGGTGGTGATGGGAAAACCTGAGTGTTCGCACCATCAGACACTCATGAAACAACATGAAACAAAGCCCTGTGAGTGATGTGAAGTCCATGTTCTGTTTGGTTTATAAAGACCAAGCTCTTGTGCATCCAGTGTCACATACAATTGTTGCTTGGACACTACCAAAACAATAACTTAACACAGCTTATCCAATATAGATCTGTGCCTGCATCACTGTTGTCACCACCAAGTGATAAGAAAATCTGTAAATGTGACATTTACTGCCTTACTGTATTTTTAAATGTGTATGTATCATAGAAACTGGAGGCTGTAGACTTTAATTCTGGTGCATTTGCTGCATGTCGTAGTAGATATGTCCTAATAAAAATTTAATTTCATGCTCCTATGGCACAGCGCAGATTGGACTGATGAGACTGGATGTGTCAGCGGCTTTGGGCTTTTGTGACAGTTCTTTAGTCACATGGTCTGTTATGCAAATTCAGAGATCATAGGGAGAAAGAGCAAACAGGGACAGTTCTGGCTTTGATTTGATTTTAATTGTGACCTTAAATAGTATCTACAGTTAATAATGATAAAATGATTCCTTCAGGATGTGAAAGTGTACACCAGTAATGACTGCATTTCCTTTTGACAGTGATGGATGTTCATACGCACACATTTACACACTTCTCAGATGACAGATTAAAAAGAGGACTTGATAAACAAGGAGGCTTTGTTTGTTAGCTGGGACCGCTCAGGTGGGTGGAGCAGCCCGCTGGACGACTCCGGAGGAAACATCTATAGATCTGGTGATCAGTCATTACACTCAGTGAGCATTGGTCATATGAAGGTTTGTTTTAAAAGCCTTTGACAGGTTTCAAATCATTCTTAATGCACCTCACGACCCCTGTGCTGGACTGAAGTTCTGTGTTTCAGAGTTCATTAGAACAAAAAAGTAAAGACTCAATTGAGTCAAGTCTTCAGTGGAAAAGTAAAGGGGAGATTTAGTCATGATGACTCTTAATAGCATTTTTATATTTGAATACATGCTTATCAGTTTGATATCTTAAAGTAACCTTTACATTATTCCAGGGTTAAAGTTAGCATTGAGCCTAATTCACACCAGATGAGGTAGGGGAAATGCTGTTTTTCCTCCTGTGGCAGCAGTTAGTTCACTATGTCCTTTAAGGACAGTGTTATCATCCTGTTGTGCCGCATGTCTGGTGGAAGTGAAATAAAGAGCCTCTCCACTATCAGAAGAAATATTCCTTTTTTATAAAAATATCATACAAAACAAGCAGTGGTGCTTCTAAACACAGCAAAGGCCATGTTTTCAAGAATTCATCTGATAACTGATAAAGAGATGGACTGTGTCAGGATGTGAGTCTGCTCAGCAGGTGACTGATCTATCTATCTATCTATCTATATAACGTGTTTGCATGTAATAACCAATCAGAGCAGTGTGTCACAGTGTCAGGGACAGTGTCAGTCTTCGTCTTCCAAGCTGGTTAAATGTTAAGACAAATGATTAAATATAAAGTCAGTTAAAACTGTGTGCTGACCAGCTGGATCTCTATCACACAGGGCTTTGAACATTTGGTGAGGGGCTTACATCCCCCCTATCAGTTTCCTGAGGGAAACCCTGCTAAAATGAGCTAAAAAAAGACAGCATCACAAAACTGTGTTGCTCAGTGTTTGTTTTCTTCATGTAATGAAGGAGAGAAATCAACTATTCTAAGAGACTGGAGATTTAATCAAGGTACTTAAGCTGAGTTTTAGTTTCCACAGGGAGCAGCTGAGGTGAGAAAGTGCACAGGTGAGCTGACAAACATAAACTGATGGCAACGCTTTGGAAGAACAAAAAATCTGTGCTTGGTTTAGTTGGCCTGGTGGCTGGTGAGGAGCAGTCCAAAAAACTGATGATGTGCGTACGTTAAAAAGGAATTAATTTCCACTGGTGTGGAGATGCAATGCAGATACAGTAGACAGCACAGAGGGTATAATTGTACAGTGAAATCCCAGTGTCAGTTCATAGTTAGTCTGTTTCCACAGAGAACACCTGTTTGTGAGTATTTTAACAGTATATTAACAGTAATTTATTCCATAGTATAAGTTACAGTCCATCAGGGCTCAGGTAGTCACACAAGAAATTCAAGTCCCAAAATATACAAATCATACTGTTGCCTTGTCTTTGGGATCCACACCAGTGTTTTTTTTCTGTCCATTCAGTAAGTCAACAGTAAGATCAAACCTGCAGAATCAATATTAAGTCAAAATTTGGCATCTTTTTCATCCTTCCAAGCCATCAAACAGTATCATGTTCAAATATTTAACAAGTGTCCTCTGGAAGTCTTGAGTTCAGTCGATGCCTCTGATGCTTGGTGGATACTTTGGCCTTCAGCAACAATACAGTTCTCTGACAAGAATCTACGATGTCCATGCTTCAGATCCAAGATCTGGTGAACTGCCCCACTGGTCAGTTTCCCTGATAAGTGACGACGGCATCAAACCACCAACATCCTCTGTGTCTCAGTTAGGTCTTTGTCCCTGTTGCACAGAGAGACAGAGACTGCCCTGTATCTGTGGCAAACAGGAGACATTCCCCACAATTTAAAGGAGAGTTCCCCATTCAGAAACACATTCAATTAAAGAAATACTTTGATATTTGGGGCCAAAAGAAGATTGATACCATACATGTCTGTCTGATAAATACATAGCTGGAGCTAGCTGCTAGCTAGCTTAGCTTAGTATAAGTATAGTATAAAGACTGAAAACAGTGTTAAAGAGCTCTTTCCAAAACTAACCTGCCTGGAGTTTCCTAAACTGGACATAACACACCATCAAACGGCGAGTTGTTGTTTGAAGTTACATTAAAGAAATTAAATGTGTTAATCAGTGAGTTTAAGAAAGGCTGGTAAGCAGTTTTTCTTTTGCCTTTAGATAGAGCCAGTATAGCTGCTTTTCCCTGCTTCCAGCCTTTATGCTAAGCTAGCTCTCCACCAGTGGATCAGCTGCTGGCTGTATGTTAATATTTAGCAGACTGGTGGTATCCATCTTCTAGTATTGCAGGCCAATGTAAGATGTTTTATACATGAAAAGTTTTATAAAACAACCAGGGACTGCTTTCCTTGTCTTCACAGGGCGCTTGGGTGGTTTGCAGAGCCACTGATGGAACGTCTGACCAGCAACAACTCCTTTGATGTGTCCAGTGCTGTTTCAGTCAAGAGGCTGGGACTGTGAACTCAGTCCTTCTCCATCCCCTTCCATCCTCCTCCCTTCCTAGGCCAGGATATCACTCCTCTTGCTGCACCAGACCACCAGGGCAATCATGGCCATGGTGAGGAAAACAGGGATGAGGATGAGGATGGTGAGCATGTCATCCGGCGGGTCCACCCACACTACCTGTTCCATGGTGCAGTTGGAGAAAAAGTGCTTGTGTACACGGATGATGTAGCTCTCCACTAGTGGATTGGGCCAGTAGCAGTGGACAATTTGGGACTTGGTCTCTGTGCAGAGGGTGAAGAGGTGGTACTCACTGCAGAGGAAGATGGCAATAAGAGAGGGAAAGGATTAGAAGAAAATCATCACTGACTCCTGTTGTTTTTCTTCAGGGTCAAGTGTGCAGCTTTTCTGACTTATGATCTCATTTGCTTTCTACTTACTTTTGCACCTTTTAAGACTCAAAATTACCTCACTACAACTGGTTCTCTGAAGGATACACAACCATTAAAAGCCTACTAGGTAAACCCTAGTAGACTATTATTATTCAGAGCACTGGAGGTTCAGTACATAATCTACATCTGCTACAGTATGCTCCTGTTTCAGCTCTGCTTTGTTTAATCCACTCAGCCAGCTCTAATCCCTCTTTCTCCATCCTGAGTTCGCAGTCCTCCAGATCCAGCTTATCTCATGGCATCCAAGATGTCATGACATCTGAGGATGAAATGTCATGTTTACATTTCCTGGAGCTCTAGACTTTGACTCTGTGTGCCATTAAAACTACAATGGAGGTACAGCTGTAAAAGAGCCCCAATTCCAATCCGGTCCCTACACACTCCCACTCAGAGACAGAGTCACACTTGTGGCTGTGGAGGGTCTCTTCATTAAGGGGGAGTTTATAAATACACTTGGCAAGCTTTGGGACGCCCTCACCTTTCTCTGATGGAAACAGGAAATTCATTGTTACCCAAAATATTTCAGAGAGATATTGTAATTAAATCAATATTTACTTAAAGGATAATCTTATGCACAGCATTGATACAAAGGTAGGCGTCATCAAATTCATGGCATAGTTAGTTCGTGAGAGGAAAATTATTAATTGAATAAATAAAAATCCACTCCCATGCATCTTTGGCCGCATTTCATTTTTGCTTAACTAATTTTTTCCACAGTTTAATTTTCAAATATCAAGTCAAATAAAAAAAAAAAAACTCATCCCGTTTTTTCGGGTACACAGCGCCATTTTCACTCCAAAATACAATGTAACCTCTAATTTTACCATGTGTATGTTGTTACGGCTGGCTCAAACACCGAACATAATAATGGACACAACACCAGAAGGAAGTTTACTACATAGTTTATTGAAAATAGATGGGTGAAACTGAAAAGAAAACAGATACCTTGCACCACAAAGGTGCTGCTGCAGCAGGAGGGAGAGAGGGCTGAAAAAGGGCCAGCCTAAATAGACTCAGCCCACTAGTCAGCACAGTGTGTGTCAATCAGGCAATCAACCTAGAGGGATCAGCAACAAGATCAACAGGAAACACCAAAATAAAACAGAATTACAGAACTGAATATTCTTCAGAGAGTGAGAAAAAAGACTTTTCAGCCTGTCAGGGTCTCGGCCATCAACCTGTCTGTGCGCTGTCTGTGGTGCTGAACAGGTAGGCTACTGTTTTGCTTATGCAAAAAAAAATCTATTTAAACAAGATATTTACGTGCCTCAAAACAACTCTGTTAACTGACAAGGAATGATAAAGCTGTGTGCTTGATTGCGAGAAAGAGAGAAAATGACAGAGAAAGTGGAAGAGAAGAGAAGGTAGAGGTGGACTTGTTAATGTACAGCCTATATTGCGCGCAATGTTTCTGTAAGTTATTTATAACATACTCAGAGCGCTGCTTTGACACATTTTGACCCACTCTGCCCAAACCCCTGACTCAAACCCACTGGCAGGTGAATAAGTAAATAAACAAACAAAAATGACTGCAAAGATAATTTTTCATTTTCATATTACATTTGTGGGAACTTATTACAATTTTTAAAGCAAAGATTTTCACCTTCCCACAAACGTAACAAATCCCTGCAAATTTAATAGCTATTACTATTTAGCTAACTAACTATCACTAAACACAGCTTTATAGGCTAAAACATACTCATCAGCCATTACAGCAGCATCCCCTACAGTTTTTGCTCTCGAGAAGAATCAACTGGCGCAACTGTTCTTTTGTCTCCACTTTTGTGAGGTGCATAGCAGGAATTCAAATACTTCAGCTTCTGTTACTCAGTTTAGGATAAAGGAGTACTCAGTTTCCTCAGTTTGAGTTAAACTGACTCATCAGGTTTTATAGTGCCTCTAGCTCCTAACCCTCTGTACAGCACACATTAGGCTTTGACGTCAAACTTTCACCACTCTTTTCAAAGGCCTTTCTTGCAAATCAAATAAACCCTGCTGAGGGGATTACATACATATGATAAGAGGAGTGTTTTGCAGAATAAAGCTTCCTGTTTAATCTGAAGTCAGAATCAACAGTAGCATATTATGAAACCAGCGGGAGTTTGTTTGTTTATTTTTTCTGTTAATTGTTCTACTAGAGAAGTTGTAAGTTGAACAATGTTAAATATGAGGAAATGACCGTGTTTGGATGGCAGAGAGAGCTTGAATAATGTCTCAGAGCTTTCAGGCAGCAGAGATGAGATTCATCCTGCAAGGCTGAGGGGAATTACAGACTGCTGAAGTTATTTCCCAGGTGTAATACACAGGTTTTCACAGAATAATCAGCTGGGAGGGTAAAAATAGCTCGACCGGGTTCATAGTGGTTGTGAGACCACACACAAACATGAGCACATTACCCACTACTCAACCACACTTTTCAAGACACAGAGTACATTTATGTCTACACACATTAGACAGATACTGAAGCTGCTGATCAGCAGTGTGCCCGTGTTCAGCAAGTACTCTAAAAGCTTAAAAGTAAAAAGTAATGTTTCCCTCTGCATGTTTTTTCAAAAATTCCCCTGAGACAGGGGAGACAGCTTTTAAGGAGCTAGGCTAACAGGCTGCTGTATAAAAATGAGAGGGGAATGAATTCTCTCATTTAACTCTCAGCAAGAAAGCAAATACTATATTTGCCAAAATGTTTCACTATTCCTTTATGAGAAAACATACATATGCAGCCTACAATAAGAAATTGATCAAATCTAATGTCTGTACAGAACAGGATATAAGTCGTGCAGTGAAATGAGCATGAACCATCAACATGCTGTTAAAGTTATGATATGTATCTTTTCCACATTAAATGTATAAAAATCACTATGTTAACTATGTTGACCTATGTTATTTATTTTTTGAATTGTGTGCTTACATTTTCCCAAATATTTCTAGTAATTCGCAAACATAGAGAAATACCAAATTTTAATACAGTAATGCTCCGTGTCATTTGGTCCACTGTCAATGACATCATATCCCCTATGTGCATGGGTTGGTTTTGAGGTTGCCTGCCAGAAGCTCAAAATTGACTTTTATCTAGTTTTAAGCCACATACACTTTTTACACCTTGGTTGCTTTCAACCATAAATTTTAACCAGATTAAGGATTTTAGTCATTGGACGTCTGGATCTTAAGTTATCAGAGAAAAAAGCCAGGCAAATGTTAGGCAGCTCAGCTCCTAGCCGCTGGAGAAGTCCCGTCCCGTATCCACCAAAGGGTGTCGGCAAATCAGATTTTTTTTTATTTTTTATTTTTTTTAAAGTTAAACTGTTTTATTTTTTTTAACCAATTTTAATCCCCTGGTCCGTTTGTTATTGAGAGGAGCGCACCATTGTGGATAATTCGGCTGCTGGTAAAAAAACCTGTTAAACATCTGGTTCATAATTCATTAAAGAAACAAAGGCAAGCAGTCTCAGTTTCCAGCTACTCCCTGTCAGCCGAAGCGCATTGGTAAATCACTTAATTTTTTTAAAAGTGAAACTGCTTTATTTGTTTACCGGTTTTAATCTCCTGGTCCGTTTTTATGGAGAGAAAGAAATCACTGCGGATAATTCGACTGCTAGTAAAAACCCATTTTAACGTCTGGTTCATAACTTAAGAATCAAAGGTAAGCAGTCTTAGTTTCCAGCTATTACTAGACGTCATGTGTTCTCTGACAAGCGTCAGTGAATCACTGATTTTTAGGTCATTTTGCCGTTATTTGAATTGCTACAGTGAGAGAGACAGGTAAGACAGGGAGAGCGAGGGAAAGAGGGGATGACATGTGAGTAAGCCTTTGTGGTTCGTGCTCTACCAGGTGAGCCGCTCTGAATATCAAAGTGAAACCACTGTAGGGTGTTTCTACTGGTTTTAATCCCCTGGTCTGTTTGTTATGGAGAGACACCTCTGTGAAGAATTCGGCTGCTGGTAAAAACCTACTGAACGTCTGGTTCATAAATTATCAGAGAAGAAATCAAAACAAAGGTTAGTAGCAGTCTCAGCTCCCAACCCTTCCCTGAGTTTCTGTCTGCTGTACAGCGTCAGTGAAACATTGACTTTAAATGTGAAACTGCTTTATTCAGTGTTTTTAATAGGGATGCACGATAATACACAGGCTGAAATTATCGGACTATTATGGGAAAAGTATGCCATTTTTTATTGCTCCGATAATGAAATTTAACCTGATAAATAGATTTGATAATGCAATGGCATTGCTACGCCAGTGGGTGACACTATACTGTGGCTAAACCATGGAAAATAAGTCTAAATTGTCATGCTCATGATGTCAATTGCTACGCCACAGTACTGTGCTCATGTCTGCAGTTGAGAGCCAATACATCCATGGAGCCAACATGTCTTCGCAGGTCTGGTTGTTTTTCTCAGTGGTACGGTAATGGTGGCGAATACAACAACATCCATGATCCCACACTATTTTGTGATGTCACCCAATACCGTCTTCTCTTATTGTTTTGATTGAGAAACCCCTAGTGGCAGAAGTTACATACTGTGCATTTAAACTGTGTTGAACCTTCCTGTGTTTTCAGATAGAACACGAGGCAAACTGTTGGTTACCATCCCTCGCCAGTCATATGAAGCACGTCATCCACTTAAAATGAAGCTTATTGATATAAATGGTCAATTAGATGTCACTAAGACAACGTCTGATGATCTTCAGAGCAGTATCTGGGCCACACAGGGATTGACCATAATTCCTAACAGTGAATATATGTTATTACAAGGTCCACTATTCATGAGACAGCAAGGCAGAAAATCAATATGTTATTAGAGGTAAATAACTGAAGTGTATCAATGAATATACAGACTCACACACAGCCTGTGAGCGGTGTGT